TAAAGTTAATTATTTTAAAAATATTATTCAAATAATTAATTGAAAGGATTGAATTAAGAAAAAGGACTGACATGCACATTGCACATGTGGTTGTGGTTACTAAAATAATACTGAAAGATTTTATCTGTCTATCTTTGTAGCTAACAACGATTTTGAGCCGTCTATTCTTCTGATAAGAACGTGAAGCGAAGATGTGCACCTTAGGTAGGTCGTGCGGAGGAGATAACGATAATAGTAAACAAAAGAGCCACCAACCTTCTGTTGAGATTGTAATGGAATAAATTACCACAAATATTTTTTTCCACTATTATTTTCGGTAAGCTACAGAAAGTTTTGCTTCAGCATATTCTTTTGCTAAAAATTTTCCTGATTATCAGTTTTTGCACCCCCCTTAAGGCCTGCGCCCCAATGCACAGCATCGGTTGAATTGGTGTTAGTTAAGCCACTGTGTATTGAGTAAATTTTCCATTATGATACAGCATGAAAATTCCATAAGAAAAGACCATTCCTGATTAACTGCAGGTTCTTAGATTTGTTCAACTTCTGCCTAAACCTTTGGTTTAGTTTTATAAAATAGTTTTAGGATAGTTAAGTTTTTAAATTGACAGTTTCACCGGTTCACTTGTTAAATGATGTGAATGTTATGTGAAACTCAAACGGTCTTGAATCCAAGGCAATGTCCAACACTGCCCTCTCGCCATTATGTACTAAAACACTCACGGTAGAGGAAGATCCTGTGTCCTCTGTCTGTGTGGTTCAGTGCTTGCTGCTCAGACTCTTTCATGCTTGACACAAGTATATCTCCAGCACAACATGCTAAAGCTAAATCGGTCGTCCAATAAGCTAGTTTCCTCTAACTTATTTCTCTGTGCTTGGACACATGTTTATCTAATAAGATACATTTAAGGTCTAAAGCCTCGTCCACACATGGCAATTTGTCTGCGGAAACATTGTCTGCTGACTGTCTCCGGAGTGTTGCTATTTTGTCTTCAGTTAGTCGGCCGACTGTTGGCAGACAAATTTCGGTGTTTCTGGAGACAAAATACAGTGTTTTCTGTTTCCCGTTCGAATGGGAAACACGGAGACAAGAGACAAAACTTTTGTCTCAAGTCTGCATGTGTGGACGTGTCTGGAGACATGAGACTGGATACAAGCCGAAGGTGTTCAACATTCAGCCCATTTAGTTGGACTGCAAAGCAGTAATATTAAGATTTTTGGGTGGTAATTAAAGAGCTGGATTGAGTTTCTTGAAAGTTTTGGAATTAGTTTTCAATGATTTATATTATTATATGACATTTTATTGAATTGTTCATCTCTTCAAGTTTAAAATATTAGGACCAACAAATAAGCCCAGCAAAATTTCAAAATCTTTTGAAATCAACCTCGTGAAGTTCCTAAATCTTCCACCTAATCTACTTAATACTTAATACTTAATACTTGTCGTCTTCGTCGTTGACCAATGAAAATTGGATAGACTGCGTCAGAAGTGTGTTGAGGCTTTTTATTGCTCAAATAGAGACCCATCTTGTAACTCTTGAAGAGAGTAGAGCGGCCTTTTCACTAAGCAATCCTTCAGTCTTTTCTTAAAAGCCTTCGGGTTCAGGTTCTTCACCTCATCCGGTAGAGCATTAAAAATCTTCAGGGCTGACTGAGGATACGCTCGCTGTGTCATACCAAGACGACATCGGGGTATGTCCAAATCACCAGCTCTGCGGGTACCGTGGTCATGGTGACTCCCTCTTTTTCTAAAGTCTTCGAGGTTTACTCTTAGCATAGTTAAGATGCTGTAGATGTACTGACTGAAGACGGTGAGGATCTTCAAGTCAATAAATAACGGCCTACAGTGGTCCAAATGGCCAGAATTGGACACAATCCTAACTGCCCTCTTCTGAAGAAGTAGTAGGTCCTGAGTATCTGTAGAATGTCCCCAGACCACAATCCCATACACAAGGTGGCTGTGAAAGAGCGTGTGGTAGACAGTTACCAAATGTGACTTAGTCAACACAGATTTGAGCTCTCTGAGAAGATGGCACACTCTAGACAGCTTGACACATACCTGAGATATATGGTGATTCCAGGTTAACTTCGGGTCAATCCAAAAACCCAATAGCTTAACAGCACTTTCCTCCCTTGCGTCCGTCTTCAGAGTACACAAAATCGACTTGGTTTTCTCGTCATTAAGCTTTAGTTTGTTCATATTGAACCACACTTTGGCCTGTTCAAGGAGATCTTGGGCTTCAGTCCGTAACCGTGGAATATCGCCCCCTCTGGATATGAGCGTGGTGTCATCTGCAAAGAGCAATGTAGAGCCATTAAGCCAAAGGTCATTAATCATGATCGAGAATAGCAGCGGTCCAAGCACCGAACCCTGCGGTACCCCGTGGGTTAAACTTTTAATACTGGACGAGGCCCCATTTACCGAAACCAGCTGTTTTCTATTGGCAAGATAGCTAGAAACTGTCTTTAGAGCTGTACCACCAACTCCATATTTTGTCATTTTAGAAATAAGCACATCATGTGACACCACATCAAACGCCTTGCTTAAGTCGCATAGACTTAGCAAGACTGAAGACTTATGTTCAAATGCATCAATTATAGTGTTCATAAGGCTGAGTAAAGCACTGGTAGTTGATCTACCCCTCCTAAAGCCATGCTGTGCATCAATCAGCAGGTGGTTGTGCTCTAGATAGGATACAAGTTGAACTTGAATTACGGTCTCAAAGATCTTAGAGAATACCGGAAGTATTGAGATTGGGCGGTAGTTTGATACAAGTGAGGAATCTCCTTTCTTGAAAACAGGTATTGTACGGGCCGTTTTGAGTATGTCTGGAAAAACACCTACCTCAAGACATGCATTTATAATTTTAGCAAGTGGGGGTGCTATAATCTCAATAACTGATTTCAATACATTACAAGACATCCCAAATACATCTTGGCTTTTAGAAGTTTTGAAGTTTTTCACCATAGATATGATTTCATGAGCACTCACCTTGCTCCAGGTGTCAAGTGTTAGTGTTGATGAGTGGTCTGTTACTCCCAGGGTGGGATCACTCTGTAATACAGGCAAACTATTTACAATATCACCAGCTATATTAACAAAATAGTCATTGAAATCGTCAGGGCTTGTTAAGATCTTAGGCCTTGTTCCTGTCTGCCGTCTAGCATTGACTATGTCCCAAGCGGCCTTACATGGGTTAGGTGCCGAGTTTATGATGTCACCAAAGTGACTCTTCTTTGCTTCATTGACTTTGGAGGAATAATCCCTTTTTACCTTACGGTACAAATCATAAAGGGTTTTTTTCCTAACTTCATCTAAACATTTTTTGTGGAGATCGTTTAGCAAAAGAACGTATGAATGTATTTTAGAGAGCTCAAGCGTGTACCAGTGCTTATCTTTGAAAGAGTTAGGCTTAATTTTATTTGACAAATTGAGAGACTGTCTAGGCTTATAACTTCTAGATGGGAACACACTATCGAACAGTTCCTTGAAAATTTCAAAAAAGTTTGAAAACCTCTGATCAGGGTTTAGAGATGTGTCAGGTAAATTCCAGTTTGAGAGACATTTCAGCTTTTGGTTCAAGACACCTAGGTTACTTTCGTCAATTTTACGCTTTACGGATATATATTTATCCTGCCATGAGATAGGCATTGGTCCTGTACTCACCAGATCCGCCACAATCATTAGGGAGACTGCTCCGTGGTCAGCAACAACAGGTTCAGTCTGAATCAATCTAAAGGTCTGATAGAAGATTGTGACCATGAGACAATGTTGGGTCCATCATCGTCTATTCCTATGTTTTTAGCACCATGGTTCAGAAAAATAAACACCGCTCAGGATATAATTGCGTCTCCCCTCGGTCATCATACCAACAAACATGGAAACATTGGCTGGCTAGTGTGTACGCAAAACACATCGGAAACTTGTATCCGAAACTGTGTTGACAGACTGTCTGCGCACAGTCAGCCGACTCAGTCTCCATGTGTGGACAAGGCTTAAATCTAGAGTTCAAAAAGCAACATTGACTCATTAAATCTAATTCCAAGGAATTCGTCCACCTTGTCACTAGTAACCATTCAAACATGACAAAAGTTTACCCATGCATACATGTTTGGCACTTCTTAGTATCAAACAACATCTTCATAGGGTGAGAGCAACAGGGAATTACCTTAATCTTGAGTTTCTACTTGTATCTGTCATGGGTATCAAACTAAGGTGTTAAGATAAGTTTCAACTTCATCGTGTTGTTCATATTTTCCTGTACTTTCATGACAGAGTGTTGAATCATCACACATAAATTATTGCATCAGTAAATAACAACATATTTAAAACTTCAAAATAGTATTCCCCCCCTCTATTCACCAAATAACCATTTCAGGTCTAGACTTTCTATAATTCTAAATCAAACACTTTCAGGTCCTGCGAGTTAAATTCTTTTGCGAAGGATGTGGTTGATCTAACTGAAAAAATCCGCTCATATCAAATCAAATCAACTCAGGTCGTACGATCTTTGTTGATGAATATGACATATATTGGGTGGTCAAAAACTTCTTTGATGTCAAAGAATATGACAGGTAAAGATTTTAATATTGTGTTTATTTAACTTGCACACGCCCTTACAAATACACTTAACACTTCAAATTTAATCAGACAAAAATACAATCTGTAGTTGATGCCATATTGAACTTTACTTAAGTTATGTTATCATTCAAAATAATGTGTTAGCGTAGGTTGTACAGCATTATGACTGAATAGCATAATAAGAATAGCTTGTGTATAAAAGTTTTAATTTTAGTTAGAGAGAACTCATGTTATCTTTGAACGCTGAGTATTGTATGGTTAAATTGTAGAAAGAAATTTCAGATGTCAATAATTTGTACGTGGTTGACCAAACTGTTGGCAAAAAATCCCCAGGAACATTAAAGATTCCTGAACAATCAAATTCAATTTTAGGAATGAGTGGGTTGTAAGTCAGAAGAAAGCCATTGTATACAAACTTATATATTTGTAAATTCTATGCACAGTGTTAAATAAATAACAAATATATTTTAAATACAATTTGTAACTACACAATGCAAAATTATTAACTGTACAAAACAAAACAAAAATTGCCTTTTTTATTTTTTATCTAATATAAACAAAAGGCAAACAATCTTTCCAGCTAACATGTCAGAGGGAGTCTTTTGGTATTATTTTAAAAATATTAACCAAACTCATACAAAATGTGCAAAAACTATTGACCAGGTGGACGATAAACAATGACACTAAAGCTGATATGACTATTTTTCATAAAATAATACATTCCCTCTGAAATCAGTGAGAAAACAGAGATGTTTTACATTTTACAACATACTCAAGCTCAAAAAGTGGTTTTAAGTTTAGACAAATATAAGTTAAATTAAATTCAAATAAAAGGAAAAAAGTGTGATTTAAATACATATTTGACAGAATCTTTTTTAAATTATGGATGAAATATTATTCCAAATCGGTACCTCCTTTTGAAAACACACAACCCTAAGTAATTTTAACTAGAGAATCTTTTTAGATTGCACCTAATATGAATTAAATTTGAAAATAAATCACAAAACGCAAAATATGTTATTCGTTTTTAACATTAGTCTTCATCCAATTTGATATTTTTACGCTTTTGGTTGTTTCTTAAAGTACTTAATAATGTTATGAAAAATATTCGGAGAAAATTTGTTAATGAAGTAATTGGTTGCAGGTTTTTGTTCCGACAGATCTTCAATGATATTACGGTTTTTCTTGGGTTCAGGCACACATCTGAAACAAAAAAGTTTATACAGAAAAACAATATATTGGTAAGACAAAGAGAAACGTTTTAATTGACAGACAAAATTAAATTAATGTAAGGTTGTAATTGATGCATTATGGAGTTAAGTAAAGGGAGTACAATGTTTATGTCATAAATGTTGCAGTACTCCGTTATAGGGAAAGTGACTCAGAGGACATTTTCACAGTTTACGTTTGCTTTCAGAGATATTGACATCTTAGAGAAATAGCCTCTGGATCGTTACTAAGCATTGTTATAATCTAAGGCTTACCTTACGATCCAATTGATTTACTGGTGAGACCTGAATTCTACGCCAGAGCGTCATCGTCAGTCCTAGGCATGGCCATGCATCTAAGTTCTTCACTATGTCTTTGTAAATATTTATGTATATTCAGTGTTTGTATTTGTAAAAATTCTATCCAACCGACAATATCTCAAGTAAGATATGAAAACAGAAAGTTTAGCTTAGCCTAGGACTGACGATAACGCTCCGGTGTAGAAAGCTAGGTCCCCACAGTAAATCAATTGGATCGTAAGGTAAGACTTAGATTATAACAATGTTTATAGTCTTTTTATACTTTATAATTAGGTCTGTATATCTTTGGAATATATAGTCAATAGAGCTGACCCAATGGCACAATGTCTGATAAAAAGAAACTAGCCAGGACGGTTAAAAACCAATCTAAATGTTAAAGCACAATAACATTATATTTTAAAAAGTGTGTGCATGCTACTGTTATATCACGAATAAATATAACACTTAAGAGCAACTTGAAACAACATTTGGAGTCCTCCTTTGTATCATAGAACCAATACATGAACGTAACTGGTTAAATACAATGTACTCGAAAGTACATTGAGCTGATTAAAGAGTAGTGGAAAATTTTTAATCTGAGATCATGCGTAATTGAAATTAGGAATTATGAAGAATTGAAAGAGATTTTATAGCTGGATAGTTGAGTGGATGTAGAACTAGCAATCAAAAGGTTGCCAGTTCGATCCTGAGAAGAGTCAGAAGCTTTGATGGTTCAAAACTGGACCCCGACCCAGCTGTTGTTGATCATTGGGATCTTAAAAATGATTTTTTCTAAAGGACCAGCTGATCTTAGTCAGTAACATATTTAATCTCATTCATCCGACAAACTCATCCTTAACTCCGTCTTGAAATACAAACCCAGGATTGTAGTCTAGAAATCTAATTTAATGCAAAGCTACTAATTTAATACATGGTCGAACTCATTGGCCGAGCGGTTGGGTTGGGTATCAGGTTGGAGGTTGGGAGGTGTGCATACACGGTCGAACTGCAGATCCAGCCTGCTTAATAAATTAAATTATAAAGTAAAGTATTATAATATCACGAGGAAGGTTCATACGCCTCATTCTGTACACGCACCGTTTTATTTTTTGAGTTCTGTACTTTTTTAATCTTCCTACAAAATGAATATCTCAATGATTTGATTTTAGCTAATTTCTCATTGCATTCAGGAAACACTTCCTTTGCTCTCTCTATCAAGTCACCATAACACCCTTTGTAAATATGTTATTACAGTAACTTTAACTTTTAATATCCCACTAGAGGCGCTGCTCTCTATACAATTTGATGTCTGTCCAGAAACATTTATTGTTGTTGAAAGACATTAAATTAGGTACCTAACCTACTACACTAAATACATGCTCAAAAACGAATAAACACAATCAACCGCAGATAAACAATACTTTGGACAGAAAACACGCCTCAATAGACGGGGATACCGGTCCAGGCTGGACAGACTGAGGCTGTGTTCGTCGAGCCGCTTGACGCCACTAATACACGACCCAACATGTTGGACGCTCGGTTCGTGTTGGCCTGTCCTGTTGAGTCGAGCGTCGAGCCCAACATATCCGACAAACATGTTTACACGGTTGAACATGTTGTCCAAGCCTGTTGGGATCAAGCCACTCGCCCAACATGATCCGCCCTGTATGGGTAGATTGATGTGAAAGTGGATAACCAATCAATGAGTACAGCATGGTCTGATTGACTAAGGGTGAAAACATAGTGGAGCGGGAAGCGTAGTGGGTACTCGCGGCGTCAAGCTAGCCTCTCCGCTCCGATATCCTTTACCTGGAGGGTTTGGTCAAGGTTCTAGCCTCAGTGGTCAAACCCACTCTAAAATCAAGTTTTATTTCGTTAGTTTGTGAATACCACTGCCCTGTAATGTAGTAACACCTAATTATTCTTGTCAAAAAGGTACAGTATTCCCCTTGTGACATATTTTATGTGTAATTTATCCAGTAAACACAAACTGTTTTCACTTTCTGTTTTTACTACTGTGTTTTTTACTTTTTTTACACAATTAAAAAAAATATAGAAATAGTTTATAGAAATATTATGCAATTTTTATTTTTTTAAATATGTAAGCAGTGTACTCGGAATTACCACTTTGCAGTGTTTTGCTATTTTCACCATTAATTGGTTTCTTTACTAAATCAGCACATTTCACTATCTTGTTGGATTTAAAAATCAGGTTTATTGTATATTCAAAATTCAGCCTCTTGACTACCTTTACCACTTCAATATGTGCATGTGAGATGCCTCTCGGGGGTAAAAAAACTTTCAGTTACGCTCTACGCTTCACTCTAGCCTTGGCGCTCCACTATGTTTTCACCCTAAGGGATCCTAAACAAAATTTGCCTTAAAATAAGATATAAAATTTAATTAACAAATACTCTAGGGGTACTGTACACGCCTTAAACCAGCTTCATATTTACCATTTTAATCAACATCTCCCCACAGTATCTAAAGTCAATGTAGCAACACACAAAACACTATTCTCACCTGCATGTGACTGGGTCCTGATAAGTACCAGAAGAACATTCAATCTGCTTAGCACATTCACAATTACAAGTTTCAATGTTCCAATGTTTATCATTTTCATTTCTACATTTATCCATTTCCTTTGTATTCATGCAATCACAGGTACACTGTTTCTCGTCGTATTTTTGTCTGGAAATGCAGTCCTGAAAGTAGTGTGATACTTAAGAACAGCTGAAAAGTACTGAAATTTAAAAACTTAATGCTCAAAGAGAAACTTGCGCTCAGTAAATTAAGTCTACACCAGTTAAATGAGCATTGTGCTTAAACATTTGTTCTAAGACTGTGCTAAATAACGTATGTTGATACAAACCTCCTTTTTGATCCGGCAGAGGCAGTTGCACTTAGTGTGTTTCTCCCTATATCTTGTCACTTTGTAATATTTGAACTTTCCATCCTCCTTCATCGCAATCCTAACCTGTAACAACCCACGGGTAATCTAGGTTACAAATCTTGTATACGTACAGAATGACACTTAAATAGGCAACTGCTTGAATCCTAGGGATGTTGTAAATTAGTATGTTATTACATTTTTAAACAACCATAACCTCAAGTGTCATTTAATCAGAAGGAAACGTATCACCACGAAACCTGTAAACCATTACCATGTCAGTTTTTCTCTATAATAAAAAAAGGTAAACAAAATAATTACCTATCCTAGACAGAGTTTTTTGTATTTAATCGTCTAAGCAAGATGAAGTCCCTCAAAATGCTGAAAAAAACTGTGAAAAGAGGAAGAAGATTAGGCTTGTTGTAAAATCACATAAACTATCTTTTTAACAATTACTTCATTGTAATTGTGATTTGGGGGAAAACTTATAAATTTTTCCCAAAAATTTGCTTTCCCTTGCCCTTCTTGAACTACAACAATGTAGATGTCAATTATAAACATTAAAGAGTAAAGTACAGATTTTCAATTCTAACAAAGCCCACTTACTTTACTATGTTAATTTTTTATATTGGCTAACTCCTTTACCCATTGTTCCATATTCTACACAATAAACGGTATCAGGAAACTGACACATACTTTCTCCTATAAGCTTTTAAACAAGCTCATGGGTAAGCAGTGGAAGTAACTATGATATTCTATAGGGATGAATCACTAAAGCTGCAATAACATTTTAACCGTAATTTTTACGGAAATGGAATTTGTACCATTTCGTTAAGAATTTAAAGGACTAACATACTAAATGTTTTTCAAAATCGTTTTGCCCGATATTGAGAAAATATTTTATGGGGTTTTATGGGAAAATCACAATTTAAAAAAATGAAGAAAGCGCATGGAGATTTAATGGATTAGTACCTACGTACCAAATTTCATCAAAATCGAATGACAGGTATGGTCTGTAGCTCTGTACACATACACGCATACAGACAAATACACACAAACACAGACATCACTTCGAGAACCACGTTTTTGGGTTCAGGGAGATCCAAAACGGATATATCCACTCAAAACTCAAACTTAAAAATTATGACGAAACCAATACTTTGAAAAGTGAAACAAAACGGATATATCCACCCAAAATCAAAAATTTTGACAAAAACAATAGGCTTACTTTCTCCATATACTATGTGTAGGGGGAGAAAGTAAAAATGACTGCATATTTATGCAATACTTTCCTACAACATTCGTAATGTGATTCACACAAGATTCCTTGTCCCTTGACGACAGTTCTACAAGAGTCGAACCCGGCTCCCTCATTGTGACTGATGTGATGTAAAACAGAAATCAGCCTGGTTGAAGACTTCTTTCTCAGGTTGGTTAAAAAGCATATTTCCGTTTAAATGGTAAACGTACGAGTTGTCAAAATTGTTAAGTATGTTATGGAACAGCATGTATATAGTTCTGGATACTGTGGAATGCAGTCAACACTAGAATGTTGGCGATGTAAATCCCTTTAAGTTTATCTGCAGAGATACAGCCAGGGCTAGTTTTAACAACTCACGTGGTCCGTTAGTTTTAGGTTTTTTTTACAAACTCACCTCGATGGAGACGTTCTCCTTCTTCAGAGGCTGACAGGAGATGACACCTGCATAGAAACAGCAACCCCCGCACCGCTCCAGCCTTACACACTCGGGATAGAGGTTGAAGTCGGGATGATCCCCTTCCTCTCTCATACTTATAGTCTGGTTCTCCAGGTTGCACGACCCAGAGAAGTAGTTCTTATCACTCAGTTTCGCAATATCTGAAACACTTTAGCTTTAGCTCAGTCAATAATTCCTCCCACTTTTTTAGATACTGGCGGCCTTTTTTAACTTTACATTTCCTCATTTAGATGGGTCTCAGGCCTGTGCATGGTTACATGGGTCTCATGGTTACATGGGTTTCAGCCCTGTGCATGGTTACATGGGTCTCAGGCCTGTGCATGGTGTACCGAATTTGAGGTAATGAACCTCAAATTCAAATCTCCACGTGAAATCATAGGTCAGATAGCCACAGACGTACTAGCATTACCCAATACAAATTGCTGCTAACTCTGATTTTAAGAAATTTAATGTTAAAAAGGGCCACTATCCAACGCGCACCAGCAGCCTTTTGCTCCTTTTTAGCAAATTTCCCCTATAGGGAATAAGTTATTACCATAGAACTCATGGTAAGTCCTGGACCCAGGACCGATTTACTTTTTTGTTTTGAGGTCCCTAGAGAAAATCCCAAAAAACTGTAAATTAAAAATTCCCATGTTATTCTTATGGAGAATAAGTAAACTGTTGTAGTTTGCTCGTTTATGATCATATTTTGATCAAGTTTGGAAAATGCATTCATTTCATACGAAACTATTAACATTTTACAAAAAACCATCTTATTACCCTCCCTGTTGCAGCAAACCTCCTCGCAGCAAAGTACTCGGTAAACTAATGTTATTTAAATAGGGAATGAATGTGATATTTTTAAGGAGACATTTTAGTGTAAATCCAAACAGGTAAATGGAAATTCGCTTAGTCTGCAGGTTTGCTTCGGCGGGGGTATTTTATGTTAAATTCCTCCAAATCAGAGTTAGCGGCAATTTGTGTTTGTAATATCAAATGTTCTGATGGACTACATAAGTTGAAACAATACAACTGATTTTTCTAATCATCACGTGACGATAAAAAGTATTTCAAGTTAATATAAAATAATACAAGGCGTTGGGTTGTATGCTAATGTTACAATTTTTTAAATTTTGACTTTTGTTACAAACAAATGGGATTGAAATGGATATACCTAGTTTAATTAAATCAATTGGTGATTCTAGATCACATGTGCTACAGACAGGAATGAACACAATATTTTGTGTATGGACCACTAACTATTATCATCCGGACACATAACACATACACAGGGGAACACAAATTAGGGCAGGCCTTTGTATTCTTGAAAAAGATTTGTTCAAAATCGCAAAGGTCGAACCTGAAATTGAAAGAATGGTTTGTACTAATTTGAAATGTTGAAATTAAATTTTTCCGAAATTGTTTTGACTTCAATCGCGTAGCAATTATATCCCTGTGGGATATGGGCCTTAGCGGATAATGAAAATCAAATTTTTGCCAATTATTACCGCGACTTTTTTTATGAATTTGCACAAAATTGGACAAAGGCTAACCCTGCCATGTACGTGGGCGGCACAAAAGAAACGACTGGGCTGATCTCCTGGTTCTGAGCTTTGATGACAACGCAAAGGATTGTGGGTAATGCTATTACACCTATGGTCAGCTGATCTATGATTTTGCGCAGAGATTTGAATTTTTGAGGTTTATTACCTCAATGGTTACATGGGTCTCAGGCTTGTGCATGGAAGGTATGGAAAAGCAAAATATCCCCGCCGCAGCAAACCTGCCGACTAAGCGAATTTCCATTTGTCTGAATTGATTTTCAGTTAAATATATTTTAATAACATTAGGTTTAACGAGTACCTAGGTTTGCTGCTACAAGGAAACTAATAAAGTGTGTTTTTGAGTAAAATATTGATAGCTTAGTACAAAATAAATAAATTTGCCAAGTTTGATCAAAATATATCCATAAACAAGCAAACTACAACATTTGACAATATTCTCCATAAGAATAACATGGGAATTTTAAATTTACAATTTCTTTAATTTTCTCCGTTACCAATAATCGAACAAAAATACTTTTATATACTAAATTATTTGTTTTTTTAAGCTCTTTAAAAACGTCTAAAGAGAAATCGGAAAATTTTGTGTTTTGAGGGTCAAAAGTGAGAAAAACCAATTTTTACCCCATAAAACCCCCCGTAAAGCCCCGTTCTCATGGTCCGATCGTGCTGGTTCGCAAACTCATTCAAGTTTATCCCGCTTTACACCTTTAAACCAAATTTCATCAAAATCGGACAAAAATTACTCAAGTTATCTATCGCGTTCACGGACGTATATATATGTCTACATATATACATATATACAAATTTGAACGAATGGTGTTTTTGGCCTCTGGGGACATCAAAATGAACAAGTAAAACGGTCCCGGGTCTAGGTCTTACCGTGCCACCTACGGTAATAGCTACTTCCCTATAGGGAAATTCGCTAAAAGTGAGCTGGTAATGTACAGGAGTTAAAGTACAGATATAATTTAGAGAAGGGCACTAAGACACGAATCTACGACATCGCTGCCGACTGGTATGGTATTGCTTTACTCGCACATGTTTAAGTATGGAACATCACCACCAACAGCTGAACCCATCAACTTACCATTACGGGTTTCAATCCCAGGGCTTCAACCCAATCCTGGGATCCCGGGATTATAATATTTTATGATTTTAACTTTTTAGTTTTTGACCATTTTAAATGAGTGTTACAGATCAATTTGTTAAGTAAAAAATTAAAACTACAAAGTACTTTCATCACTTGTCTTTCTAATTTATCATACACTTAAACTTGTTGATATGTCATTCTAGAATTTAATAAATACATATCAACACAAGCAACTGCACTCACATGTAAACGTCACGTTCTACTCAACACTAATGCCAAGTTGCACAGTTGAATAATATGTAATAATGTAAATTAAATAAACTGTCAAATTTACTTTATTACATTACTTTAGGACTTGGTCTTTGAAACCCAATTTTCTGTAGTTCTTGACTACATCTTGAGTTTAATTCAGAACTAAACTTTATTCACACTCCGAAACTCCCTGCTCAGTCCTATAAACCAAGAAATAAAAAGATAAAATGGGACGAATCAACAGTTGCAACAGTAAAGATTTTACATTGACAGCAATAAACAATTTACGATCCAAATAACAAATCATCTGCTTTTGTAGTTAGTGTGTGTACGAAACACATAATTTAGAATTGTAAAATATTTAATCAGCACACTAGTTCTAAACCAATTACAAAGATAAAATTACCGTATTAATCCTAAACATAAGCAATTGTAATAACGTATTTGGTGTGTTTATAGTTAGTAAGTTTTAGACATTCCATATGAAAACAATAATACTTCAATTACCTATTGTCATGTTATGTTTCTCAATTGCATTATTTGCTCCCATGCCAAAAGGACTTCTTAAAATGACTTCTTAACAAGCATAAAATGTGTTATTAAATTTACAAAAAGTAAATAAAAATTAGTCTAATAACACTTTAAACAGTAAGAGATTGACATTAAATTCACCCATGTTCACCTATTCAGTGATGACTGAAGTATCCAATCAAAATCGATCAACACTTACTATCGTTTATATTTATCGTCCAATAAGTAAATAGTATAACTGTAAATATATGTTTCAAGTGTCAATATATATATATTTACTTACTGTCCCTAAAACTTCTACTGACTGGGATCCTGGGATTGAGACCCATGACCCATACTCACCAAACATTTATTTTTATATCGGAACAAGTTAGTAAGAGGAAAGACTATCAACCTCCCTTTAAGCCCACCTAGACATACATTTCCCCAAAAATCCCTTAAAATCCCCCCATGCATCCCTCCAACTTCTAAAAATGGGGAATTGTGTAGTTTAAAAAAAATGAATTAAATGTGTCTACCTATATCAACTACGCTTTATTTGTTTGGGTAAAACAACAGCTCGTTTGTTAGTAATTTAACTGTCTGATATAAAATATCCTAATTTCACCGTGAATCAACTATTTCCATCACAACTAAAATCTTAATTGTAAAACTTTTTAAATTTGCACAAACTTGTTATTTACTTGGCCATTTCCACACCAATGAAAATATACAGTTATCCAATAAAATGAATACAATAAAAAGTACAATTGCTATTGAGAATTATTGTTACTTTACCATTTGGTTTTATACCATATAATGGTAAGGGAAGAGATGCCTCATTATAGAATGGCAATGGTTTATTTGAACTGAACCGATTTAACTCTTGTTCAAGCAGGTCATCGTCCCTTATTTCGCTTAGGTATCTTTCCACTTCCATGGGTATCTGGAAAATAAACAAATGGATAAAGTAGATGATTAAATAATTTTGACAAGGGCACTGTATTACACTTTAAAATCTTTTTTTACAAAATTCAAATTTTTGACTCCTATGCGAATATTATAAAAGTACGATTTTATTACAATCGTCAATTTTCAAATCCTAGACCTACTCCTCACTCTCCTGCAGAAAAGTATATTTTAATAGTGTAGGTTTTTGGGATAGGCTCTTTTCACATCTATCCGGCATGCTGTTAACCCCACTTCTAACCGGCACCGGCACGGGTGAAGCTTTCACATTAAGCCGACACTGTTGTAACTCCAGCAGTTGTACTCTAGCTTGTGAAACTTGTGTGTCGTAGGGATGGAAATGGAACGTAATAGAGCAATTGCAGTGTTAATTTGATATTACTTGTATTGAAACTGTATTTTTATTTGGACTACCTATTTTTATTTTTATTTTATTTTACGAGGCATGATTTTTAAGTAAGTACCGTTTTTAAATTTCTCCGTTCCAGCACTGCGATTGGCATTTCGGACATTTGCGCTGTATATGTGCATCTATTGGCTAGCTCTAGCCGGAAATTTGACAAAAATCGGCCCTGTTTACATCCGGTTTCGAGCAATTCAAAATGGTGCCGCCAAATGAGACTGCCGCCGACTGTGAAGTGCGCGCTGCAATTAGATTTTTAAGTGCTAAAGGTGTGAAATCTATTGAAATTTATCGACAGATTAGTGAGGTGTATGGCGAGAACATTATGAGTGACGGAATGGTACACAATTGGGTAAGGGCATCTAAAAACGGTCCCACCAATGTCCATCATGAGCAACGTACTAGGCGGCGTCAATGTCCCCAGTACCCAGTGCGTTGCTCATCATGAACGTTGGTGTCGCCGTCTTTAGATGCCCTTACCCACTTGCGTACCATTCCGTCACTCATAATGTTCTCACCATACACGTCACTAATCTGTCGATAAATTTTAATGGCTTTCACACCTTTAGCACTTAAAAATCTAATTACAGCGCGCACTTCACAGTCGGCGGCAGTCTCATTTGGCGGCACCATTTTGAATTGCTCGAAACCGGATGTAAACATTGTAAACAGGGCCGATTTTTGTCGAATTTCCGGCTAGAGCTAGCCAATAGATGCACATATACAGCGCAAATGTCCGAAATGCCAAACGCAGTGCTGGAACGGAGAAATTTAAAAACGGTACTTACTTAAAAAACATGCCTCGTATTTTATTCAATTTGAATTTGGGTAAAATTCAATTCAATGTTTTGTTATAAAATGAAATAATAAAATACAAATAAAATTCAATTCTGCTCTTGAACTAAATTAATAATTAAGTAGTTCAATGTCTATTTTTGACATGACCAAAACTTTGCAAACATATAACCAAAAGTAATACACAAATAACTACTAGGTAACTGAACTAAACGTACACTTGATGCACCCGACAGACGACAGTTGCCGGTTGTATGTGAACAGTCACATTTGACAGCCACACCCACTACTCCAGCCGGCTTGTTTACCCGACACCGGCAGCCGCCTTCGCCGAGAGGGCACCCGGTATCCTTCGCTAGAACACAGCAGCCGGGCAAGTGATTAACCGACTACGACACATGCTGTGTATATGTGAACGGTCCCATATACTTCCTCACCCCTTTGCCAGCTAAACGATACCCAGCGGCCGGCACCATCGATGTATTATACATTGACGCCCTGCACCCGACAGCCGGGTAGATGTGAAATAGGGCGTTTTGAGCCCCACGTCACTTGACAGAATATGTTGCCGGACATTGCTTTGCCGTACGGACTGTTCTGATCACACTGCGTGCCAGTCGCACATTTTCCCACTCCCCTCCTTGCACGCCAACACAACATAACATATTACCGTATTAACATATTACATTCAGCATCCCAAAGACCTAAATGGATTCATCCAATTAATCCAAGAAGGAACCAGTTTGGCGGATTTCACCATCTAATGGATGACCTAAAGCTAGTATTACACTATAATAGTTCTAAGACACATACATAGTCTAATGATCCAACTTATCTATAATAATAGTTTAACTATGATCAAAATGTTCTCCTAGAAAGATCATTTTATACTATTTCCAAACAAAATGGCTTCATATTAGTTTCAGTGGACAGTGTAAATTACAAAATTTCTAGTATCTGATTATGTTGCAAATGAGTAAAAAAGTAAAAAAGTGACTACAAAATCAGAACCAAACTAGAGTACGGTTCACCAGTTGATAAGAATCAAAGTTTTGTCCTAAGACAAATTCCACAAATTATAATGTTTCTCAAATAAGTGTTTTCCTTGAAATCAATTTAAACAATTTTTAAACGATATACAAAAAGTATTTTCAGCTATTCTTATTTGTAATTTTTTATCTTTCCTTTTAGCGAATTTCCCATAAAGGGTATAAGCTACAACAGTAGGTCTCATGGTAAGACCTGGACCCGGACCGATTTGCCTTTAACTTTTGATTTCACCAGATGCCAAAATCACAATCCGATCAAATGCATATGTATGTGTCCGTTAGTACGACAAATCAAGCAAAAATCATCCAATTTTAAATCAAATTTGGTACAAATGTGTAAATCTACATTTAATCTAACAAGTTCGGGAACGATCAAAATCGGACCATGGGGTGTTCAATAGGGAGTTTTATGGTATAAAATTGGTTTCTCTCATTTTTGACCCTCAAAACATAGAATTTCCTAACTTTTATTTAAATCATTTTGTAGAGCTTAAAAACAAATAATTTAGTACATTAAAGTGTTTTTGTACGGTTATTGGCTACGGAGAGAATTAAAAAAAAGTAGATTATTCAATCATTGTAGTTTATTTGTTTATGCGTAACTTATATTTTTATCAAATTTGGGAAATTTATTGATTTTATGCAAAGCTAAAATCTCTAAAAACAACTGTTTTATTACTGTTTTAAACTGTTTTATATATCACTAAAAATACCCTTCATTGCCCTCCCTTTAGCAACAAACCTAGGTAATGGTTAGATTAGGTTAAATAGATTTGTGGAAATCAAATCAGGCATAAAAATAAATTAACAACAGTCAAAATCTTGAAATCTACAAAAATTTTTCTACAGTGTTCCTTGTGATTGACATTTGCCAAGATCCTGATCACCTTTTTCTGTATTAAAAGAACATCAGTGATGTGAAATGAGGGCTGCTATCTCAAAAGATTATTCCATAATCAAGGGCTGATTGGAAAAGTGCAAAATAAGCAATTTTTTATAAAGTCAAAAAGGAACTACCGGTACATCATTGAGTTTTCTGAAAAGAAATGTCAATCTAGGCTACTTAGTCTAGTACAGAGATATTCAACATGATATGACAGGAGTTGACCTACATTAACACCCAAAAACTTAACAACTTTGACCTTGTCACATTGTACTTTAGGAATTTTGCGAAGTCCAAAGACAACAGTTTGGGGTTTCTCATTGTTTAAGAAAAAGCTATTCCAGCAAATGTGTTACATTTGAGACTGGATGGAAGATCATTTATTGAGATTAAGAAGAGCAGAGGACCCAAGACTGACTGACTGAGCCTTGTGGTACCCCACAGTTGCTTAAGGCAACCGCGGACCACTGACCCCCACTGCAAAACCATCTGTCTTCGGCTACTAAGATATGTCTTCAGCAGTTTTAAAGCATTAATTTGAACACCATAAAACTCCAACTTATGGAGCAGGACATCATGGTCAACACAGTCAAACGCTTTTCTGAGATCAATGAAGGTCGCCCAGGCATATTCTTTTTGTTCAAAGGCGTTTTTGTTCTATTGCATCCATAGTGGACTGTCCACTTCTAAAACCAAATTGATGTTTGTTGAAAAGTGAGTTTACTTCAAAAAAGTTAGTCAGCTACAGCTGATTGTATACTACATGCTCTGGCACCTTGGACAGCAGAGGTACTAGACATATTGGCCGATAGCTGCTTGGGCTGTCTCTTTCCCCTTTTTTGAAAATTGGACAAATTTTATAAATTTTTAAGCCCTCTGGAAAAACCCCTTCCCAAAGACGGACGTTTTTACAGTGGGTTAGAGGCACTACAATTTGTTCAGCAACTTCTTTAACCAACCAGTTAGAAAACCCATAATATTCTTGGGTTTTGTGTTCTTCATTTTGGAAATAATCAAAGCAGAGATATTCTTACTAAGTCATGTTGGTTAAAAATTGGTCATAAGAGTTGGTAGTTTTCTTAATGCTGTTTCTAATATCAGCTAAAGAATTAATAAAAAAATTATTGAGGATATCTCGGTCAATGGGGACATTGTTTGTTTTGAGTGAAAATTTAAAAACGTACGTTTTCAGGGAAAGCACTTTGCAATTTTTTCCCCCTTTTTTCAAAACTTTTATTATTTTTTTTATTTCATTAACATTTGAAGTTTCATAAAATGTCCATGGTAACGCAATATCTTTGGGAGTTTTTTTTTTTAAAGAGCATCTTTAGTGGAAAAACACAAAATCCTGTCACGACCATAACGGACGTTTAAGGAATATTAAAAATAGTTAATATTATTTTTATAACTATGTTTTGCTATAGATTAATTTACTTTTATATCCATTATACAATAAAAAGGTCACTAAGCTTTTGGTATATTTGGTCTTTCTAAAAAAAAAACCAACTTTCAATGGTGTTGCTGCTTTAGTCTATTCAAAGCAGATTATGGCTGTCCAGTTGGTAACCCAGAGTTTGTGGGTAAAAAATGGAGCACATGAAATAAATATCACCCACCTTTTCAGGATTCTCTACGGAGAAAATTTGTTTGATTAGAGGGAAGTCTCAAATCAAAGAAATAAAATTACCCAAACCTAAATTACTTATCACAGGCTATCTATCAGTAAGGCAACAGTTTTCTTCAATTCTCAATTCTGGAAAAACTTTGTTGAAACATGTTAACTCGAACGACGCAAATAGAGGTACCGGTATTAAAAATTAGTTTCTAACAAGTGTTTAAACAACTCT